CGGGAATTGCGGGATCTGGAATTGCGGGATCTGGGAATTGCGGGATCTGGGAATCGCGGGATGCGGGAATTGCGGGATCAGGGAATTGCGGGATCAGGGAATTGCGGGAGGTGGGGGATCTGGAATTGCGGGACCCGGGAGGTGGGGGATCTGGAATTGCGGGATGCGGAGATGGCGGGATGTGGGAGCTGCGGGATGTGGGAGTTGTGGGATCAGGCAATTGAGGGATCCGGGAGTTGGGGGATATGGGAGCTGCGGGATGCGGGAATTGCGAGACCCGGGACTGCGGGATTAGGGAATTGCGGGATCCAGGAATTGCAGGACCCGAGAATTGCGGGATGCGGGAGCTGTGGGATCCGGAATTGCGGGATCCGGGGGCTGCAGGATCCGGCTGCACCTCGCTCCCATCCCCGCCCGCACCGAGCCCTTCCCGTGCGGTCCCTCCGGCTCTTTCCCAGCGCTCCCGGCTGGAATTGCTCCGGTCCCGTCCCCGGCCCAGCCGCGCTGCTCCCCCAGCCCCGCAATCGCTCCGGGGACTCTCCCCAGCCCCATCCACGCGGATTGGGCGCGGGCCAGAGGTCACGGATTTCACTCTGGAGATTATTAATTTAGGGAATGCCAAGGGATGGGATGAACAGAGCACCAAGAGCTCGGGTTGAGCTTTAAAACAGCTTTAAAAAACCCCTCGGGTGAGCTGAGCGGGGTCAGCGCTGGGCGTGCAGCGCCTCCATCAGGACCAAATCCCATTTTGGGAAGGGACATTCACTGCTCCTGGGACAGAGGGCCCCAAGAGCTCTATAAAATTCCAGTGGTCTCTAGAAAATTCCAATCCTAAAAAGCCACTCCATAAATAATAATTTATATAGTGAGAATAGAAGAATTAGGGCTGAGCCCAGATGTGGATTTACTTCTTGTTGCTCTGAACAGAACTGAGCACTTATAAAGCCATTAATAAAGACAGAAACAGAGAAGTTCATATAGGAAAAGGAGTTAGTTCACCTTTATTTCATTTCTCCATAGTCCCAAACTTGACAGACGTAGAAAAATATCCTTGAGTCAGTAGACAAATTTACCAATGCTAAATAGCCCTTTTCTCTGACCATCTGGGCCACCCTAAATACATTTGTACAAGCATTACTTCAGGGGGTTTCAATAAAAGGTTCTTCTAAACTATAAACAATAAACTACAGAGGAAAAACTTGAGCTACCAAAGCATGCAGATGAAGGGATCTTCCAAAAATTAAAAAAAAAAAAAAATTAAGAAAGCAAACCAACCTTGAGATGCATTTGGAGGAGAAAACAAATCAGGACAATTTCAGGAAAAAAAATTAATTATTAGTTAAGAGAAGTCAAAGCAAACTCTGTAAAGGATCTGTGGATAAGTTAAAATATCTATGGCACAACTTTTCACCAAAAAAAAAAAAAAATTAAGGCGAAGACCAACGTTTTATATAAAAATAGCTGAGCAGGCTTCTAAAGCAGGAAATCAGCATTTCCAATGATGACTCTGTTAATACAAGATTATAAATACCCTTTATATACACAGAAAAGCAACTCAATACAAACATCTGGACCGTTTCTCTGGGCACCTGGCACTGGCAATGCCCAGATCAGGAGCCCTGGACCATAGTGGAGGTATCTCCGTTGAAGGTTTGTAGTAGTTTCTTTGCTACACGTTCTGATACAAATCAGAAAAATGAAATATAAATAGTGATTTTCACACAGAAACTTAGGAATATGCTCAGGTTACAAAGCTTAAGGAATTGCCCCAAAAGGAAATGATAAAAGATTTAAAATTATCCTGTTTTGCAGGCAAAGGAAAGCATCCAAGTTATACAATAATATTTAAATTTTCAGAATATTTTTTTTAAATGAAACGGATTCCTACAGTGAAAATAAAGCAGAAATTATCATTATCTCTTCATAAATACAGCAGTTGGTTTATTTGCCAAGATAACTTAAAAATATCATTATTATGGGCATTTTCATAAATTTCAAGCCTAAAAGTTACCAGTTGCAAGGACATAACCAATAAACCATATTTGTATGGGTGTATTTGACTAATTTTCAGAACTATGCAATTGATATGCAGCAAGACACAAAAATAAGAGCAAATGAAATATATTTGAGAAGAATTCCATTAACATTTCAAGTTAAAATACCTTTGTAGAGCTACTGTGATCAGTGTATCTGTGCACATTGTAAATCTGCATCTGTGTGTTCACACACACTCAGTAAATCCAGAAATAACCCCAGAAATGATTAAAATTCCTACTGGAGAACACAATTTTCCCCCAGCACAGCTCAGTGGATTTGCCAATGACTTTTTGACCTGTATTTCACAAAATCTGCAGATAAAGCAGAAGTTTTTGTTTTCCACAGCACAGAAACCTTTTAGTTCATTGAAATTTTCCTAAAACCCAGAACCTTCATTTCTGCCTCCTTGTGCCTCATTCCCTCCATCCCCCTCGTGCATCCTCCACCCTTCCCTGAGCTCCAGGGAGAGAAATGTGATGGGGGAAATTCAAGGAACTCTTTTCAGATGAAACTTGAATACAAACATGGTCTAAATCTACTTTTGACCTCAGTTTGTTACTGACCCATTTTCATTTAACACTTCAAAATTCTTTCTACAAGGTCTCTATAAAGTTATGGCAAAAAAGGGAAACAAGTGAAACAAAAATCTGTGGAGGTTTTCATGAACTGTGGTGTCTCAGAAAGTGTAAAACCTTTTTCTTACAGTGCTGAGATCACTGACTGCTCTCTCAGATTAACTCATCTGATGCACTGAGCAATGTTCCAACCATCATTAATACCAGAATTAAGGATTTCACCCATTTCTCACAGGAACTGCACCAAAACCAGCATAGCCACCCCATCCTTCAGCTGTAACAGAAATATTTTCTCCCATTAACACATGCTAAGCTTTTCTCCCTAATATTCCATTATTTCCTTCTTCACAGATTGTGATGAGCACAAATACAGAAAAATAGCATTAAAATAAAAGCAAAGTAATGGCTCACACTCAGCAAAAACCAAACACAAACTGAAGGATGCATGTTGGGAATAATTTATTGCCTATAAAAGGTTAAAAAAAATTTCCTAAGTTCACATTTTCTGTGTAGGTTTAAGGGGTGTCACGTTTCAGAGGTAGCATTGTGTAAAATGTAAAACAGAGCTGGAAAAGAGTTCATGACTTAGTTCAGTGACATGGGGAACTGTCCCAGAGCCAAAGCACTGACCTGAACTGTTTTCCTTCCAGAACATCCTTGCACAGCTCCTTCAGCCAGGAGGATTTGCTCCTTTGTGGGAACAGAGCCCACAAGCCCAAGGCTCTGCCCCGTTTCTGTTGCCTTCTGACCAAAGCAGCTGCTGTTTCTCAGAGCAATAAACACTCACACTCTAAACTCCTGTTCTTCCATGGAAAACACACATTTTATAGTGCTGCTTTGACTATTTTTTCCCCCCAAACTTTACAGATTTCACATTTGGTCATTGTGAAAACATTCTTGATTAAAGGGACCAACCACCACAATCCAGCCGTGCTCTCTGCAGCCAGGTGGGATTTGCTCACTGACCACCCCAGCCAAGCTGGAGGATTTGGGGCAGAAAAGGCAGAACCTGGCCAGGCTCCAGCCCTGCAGCCCCTGCTCTGGGGTAGCTGGGCAGGGCTGGAGCTTGGACATCAAGCTTTGGGTGTGAATTGTGCCAGGAATCCTGTGCTGTTCCCTTGGGACACACTCCTGTCCCCCCTCACAGGCTGGGGCCACCGGGGGGTCAGTGAGAGCAGGACTCTGTGCTCAGTGCAGGGACACACAGGGACAGGGCAGATCCATCTGCAGCACAATTCCCACTGCCAATTCCCACTGCCAATTCCCATCCCAAGCAGGGTGCCCAGGGTGCTGCTGGTCTGTTCAGGACTCACCTGAGCCTGCAGCACCCCCAGCCTCTCCCCCTGGGGAACAGGCTCTCTAAAGCTGCTGCCCAGCTCAGGTGAGGACAGAACCAGGACATTCTTCTCCTCACTCACAGGGCTGCAAAGCCCCAAACTCCTCATTTCACACTTTTTATTGCCTTAGTGAAAAGAAATACTTGGAGAGATTAAAGTGCAGAGCTGCCTCCAGGGCTGCGCACTCCAGAAACTTTGTACAAATTTGAGTTCATCTGCTCAGGTGCCTTTAAACCTGCCCCAAATTCACCTGCTGGAGTATTTATTGTTTTACTGGAGTATTTCCTGCCACTGTTACTCCTGTCAGACCTGTGGATGTGACTGAGGCATCAGCAGCAGGGAGAGGGAAGCAGGCAGAGCTCCAGGAAATGGGAATTTAACCATGAGCAAACCTTCCAGCATCCAAACCCCAGGGAGAGCCTGTGCTGCCTCTGGTGAAGTGTCTGGGCTGCCTTCCCACCTTCAGAAAGACATCACTGATGCTCCCATGGGTGCTTTAGCAATGAAGAATGCCAGGGAAGTCACTGTTCATGGTCAAAGAGACTCTGCAGGAAGGTCAAACATTGATACCTGGCCACAGAAAGGTGATAACACCACCCACACAAGGCCCTTCTGCTGCAGTGCTAATTCACATTACAGTCACTCACTGGGACAGACAGGGGGCCGATTTCTGGCACCCTGAAAAGCACAGGATGAGCTCCATCTCCTGTGGAAGGTTCTGGAATGCTGAACTGCACTTACTGCAGGTGTTTGTTACCATCCCACAGTCAGGGAAACACCCTGAACCCAGACCCACCCCAGGGCCACCCCCATGCTCTGCACCAACATTTAACCACCAATAATGGCCACAGTTACTCAATCTCTACTGGAAATACCCAAATACCCACTGCTACTGAAAAAAACCCAGCCAAGGAGCTGTGGAGCCTCTTCCTCCCCAAATTCTGTTATTCAGGGATAGAATTTATACTTTTTTTTTTTTCCTGGCTATCCTGTGGTGTTGTCAAGTGTGCCAGGCTGTGTTTTGTCTCCCAGGGATGGGGTGGGCCCTGAGTGCAGCTCACCTCAGCTGCAATCCAAGGGTATCCCAGCTCCCTGGAGAACAGGGACTGACATCATTGCTTGTGTCTAGCAAACAGTTCATTCAAAATCCATCCCTTCCCTTTGTTTGGGTATGAAACAGCAGCAAGACAGCAAAGTAGGAATCATCAATGGAAGTTTTTCCTGCAGGAAGGCAGATGATTTAATTGACCATGAAATTGAGAACTCCTGTTAAAGAGTATCCTGATCTCTGTCATGGGAATTCAAGTGGAAGAAGCAGAAAAACAGGGTCCAAACAGTGGCAGCTCCCAGCACTATTTTATGTTAATTTTACAGAAAACAAGAGGTTTCATTGTCAGTGGCACAGATTTCCTGTCCAAAGAGAACAGCAATAGAAACCATTGTCAGCCTGGCATAGAAAACCCTTTATAAATGAGTTTTGCAGAGAATTCCAGCTCAGCCCTGTCCCATCTGTGCAGGACAGCACTGTGAGCTCTGCTCACAAACTCATTCCCACTCTGAGTTTTAAATGCCCCAGCTCACACACGGGCCTGGAACTCTGGATTTCCCTGTGGAAGGGTGGCTCTGCTGGGAACTTACAGAACTGTACAGGGGGCAGAACTGTGAGAGTTTGGTTTCTCAGAACACCTTTTAAAAGCATTCCTACCCTTTCTGCAGCTGGTGTTTAACAGTATTGCTAAAAGCTCCCCGTGCCCAAGGAGAGGAGAGACTGAAAACCTGAAAGAACAGAGCTCACTACTGGTAACAAACAGAAAGAGCTGTACAAGTGATTAGGGAGGAACTGATCAGGCTGAGAAAACCCTAAAACCTGAGTCTAATCCCAGTATTAAAGGAAAAAAGATGTTATTTCCCCAACACTCTGGATTTTCTGAGCTACACCTTGGACCTCCCACTGCAATTAAGGGAGTTACTCACTGCATGAACAAGGATTCCCCAGAGTCAATTATTATTTGGCATAAAATGGGAAGATCAGGTTTTTTACCAGACTGAAGCATTTGTGTAAAAATGCTTGCTGAGGGATATCCAGGCTGGAATTGGAGCACCAATGCCATGGGCAGGCACCCGCAGCATCCCACAGACCCACCCTGGAGGAGAAGAGCTCCAGGACTGACCTGCCTGGACTGGTCCCCACCCTGTCAGCTCAAGCACAGCACCCCTGCCTTGGCCAGGCATTCCCTGGACCCCAGCACACCCCCTGAATCCACCTGGACACCCCTGCACAGCCATCCCACCACAGCACTGAGGGGATTCAGTGCCAACAGCTCTGGGAAAGAAGAAAATTCACTTCAGCCCCTGCCTGCAATCCAGATCACAGTTTAGAAATGGCATTGGCCAAAAAATGCACCAGGCAGGGCTTCAAAGCAGATGGGCAGAGCTCACTTCCAACACTGGGAAACCTTGCAGGGTGCAGTGACAGCTGGGGAATTCTGACTGGCTTGGTAAACTGGAGCAAAGTTTGTGGAGAAATATATACCCAAGAATTAAAATAATAAGCAGTACTTTAGCATTCAGGCTTTGACAAATAAAAACTGTGACTACAATCATTAAACTCTACAGAGTGTAAACATCCAATCCCATTGCTACTGTATTAGGAGGTTGTATCCTGCAGCTATCAGGGTTCCCATTTCCACCTCATTTCTTCCAACACTTATCACTGCTTCTTTGCATTAATAATTTATTCATGATAATTCAATTTTTTCAGTTAGCCTTTCAAGGTTTTTTTCAGCTATTTTGGTCAGAAAAATGGAAGATTTAACAATCTCAAATCAGAAAACAAAAACCACTTCAGTTTAATTTCAGGTTTTCAAGCACAACTCAGAGAAAGCCTGTTATTCTATTTGGATCCCCAATTTTTAGTCCACCTACCTGAGTAAAAATGGGGAAAAATATAATAAACAGGCCTAGGGAGCACGTGGAGCTGGAGAATTCACTGGGTGTGTTTCCCACTCTTGCATCCCTGCTCAAAAAAGACTTTGCTACAGAGCCAGAGCTGTTCTGGAGATCAAAGTTAATCCTACCCGAGGCCGAGCTGCTCGCAGTGCACCCTTCCCTCACCTCTTCCATTTCCCAAAGCCAGCACTGCCAACTCCTGGGCACTGCAAGGCTGTGAGGAGCCAGGCTGAGAACACTGCAGAGCAAAGCCTCTCTGTGTCTCTGTCTCTGCTCTGCACCTCCCTGGGGTTTGTGCTGGTCTCCAGGACAGAGCATCACAAACTGTCTGAGGCGTTCTTCTCCGACAGCGACGAGAGGCTGAATGAGGTATCGTCGGGCTCCGGCGAGGTGTGGTTGAAATCCATCTCTTCCAGCTCAGGAGGTAAGTCTGAAAGCAGAGCCTACAAGGGAAAAACATTTCTAATATCTGCTATAGACACTATCAGGTGTGGGTTTTGTGTTAGCGGTGATTTAAACAAAGTGTGAGAAAATTGTTTGAGTTTTTCAATCATAATCTGAGCCTGTGAGAAAATTATTTGAGTTTTTCGATCATAATTTGAGCCTCTGGAATAAACCCAAGGGAGGGACACAACACAAAAGGACAAACATCTTCTCATATCAAAGACAGATATTAAACCTGCTCCAGGATTTACCTGCTGCTGTTCCTTATCATCTGCTTTAATTGCAAGTATCAAACTGCGGGTGAACGTCTGCAGCTCAAAGTATTTCTGTTTGTGGCTCTCCAGCTGACTCTCGATGAACCTGACTTCTTCATTCTGTGGGGAAACCAGAGAGTCTGGGGATGATCTCAGAACCAAGGAATCCTTTGGGCTGGAAAAGCCCCCTAAGGCTGAGCCCCACCACCCCCCAGCACTGCCAAGGCCACCACTGTCCCCTTACCTGGGGACAATGCTTTGTCCCCAAGTGCCGCATCCTCATCTCTGTTAAATCCCTCCAGGGATGGGGACAGGACAAAGCACTGGAATAACCACACCTGCACAGCCCTGGGTTAAAACTCAACTATTTTTAGTGACAATGACAACCAAACCCCAATTCTCTTCCTAGAAGTGATCAGGGGGCTGTGAGGAGAGACAGCAAATAAATTCAATTATTACAGCAGAAGGCTTGACACAAAAATCAGGGAAAATGACTTGAAAATTCCTCAAAGCTACCACAAATTAAAAGATAACATCCTCCAGCAGCTGGGTTTGATGTGGATCAAGTGTCAGCTCACCAAGCTCCTCAGCATCCCTCGGGTTACAGAATAAACAGGAATATCTCAGAGTGACAGAACAGTTTGGAAGGGACCTTACAGATCATTCAGTTCCAACCTCCAGAGTTGTTTATGTGGCTGGAACTGGATGTAATATATTACAAAATGAGGAAATATCAATAAGTTTTGTGCTTTGGTTAAAAAGGCATTTTCCCAATCTATACTTGCAAATCTCTTAATTAAAAATTCAGACTTGCTAATTATTTCAATTTATTCTAAGTATCTCCTCTCTTTCAAACTATTGGATCAAAATGCTAAACCTGTTGATTACTACAGAGGTAAAATTCATTTTCTCTGGTTATTCACTTTTGCCAAGATCATGAAAATCAAACTGTTTATTTAGGTTACAAGATCAAAGGCATTGCTCATTTTTGCAGAAGGGCTCTGCTTAACAGCACCAACTCATGAGAGAATATTGAAAAAAATATGGTATTCATTCTCACACTGGCTGGAACTCAGCTTTAGTTGACATGAAAAGCTGTGACTACATGATGCTCTAAAGGTTTGCAACAAACCTTTAAAAATGGTTGTATTTTTGTTGGTTTTTTTCCCAGAAAATTCTCATTTTTTCAGTGAAAGCACCGTTCACCACACTGTTCCAGGTGATAACAGCTCTGGGAATGAGAGATGAAGTTTCCATAAAAAATCATCTGAGTTCCTCCCTATGGATACTCAGCAGTTGCCTATTTAGCTCTGGATTTTGCCCAGCCCAGGAAGAATTCAGATTTAGGCAAAAAACTCAGGGAGCAATCAGTGCTGTCAAACAAAGCCTGGCTCTGCAGGGCACTGTCACAACAAGGCTCTCACTGTGCTGACAGGTGACATTAAGAAAAGGTCATTCCCTCTCCTGATTCATTCTGCACTGCCCTTCCCAGGAAAACACTGCTGGAAGGAGGAATTTCTGTTCTGAAGAGATGATCTGTTCATTATTTTGGTAATTGATTTTTATCAGGAGAACAGATCTGGTTTCTCATGGGTAAAAAATCAGCACTGGAGGTAAAAGCTCAAGGACAGGTGGAATTGTGGTGACTCCTGGGAGAACAGCACAGACACAACCTCAGCCTTGGGCTGGAGCTGGCAGGGTCCAGCTGCTTCTCCTCCCTCCCACAGGCACCACTTCCAGCATGTCCTGAGGAATCCTCCTCCTCAGAATCCCCCAATCCAGCACAGGATTCCTTCCAGCTCCAAGCTGGCAGCACCACACTGCAGGGAAAGTGTGGCAGAATTTCAAGAACAATTCCAATGGGGTGGCTCCATAAATGCCTTTGCTGGGACACAGGGAGGGAGCTGCAGCTCTGTAGAAATGGGGTTTTCCTGCCTCCATTGGTTGAAACATGGATAAAGTGGCTGGAGGTGGGATGAGGGCATGCTGTGCACACTGGGAAAACAGCAGAGGAGCTCAGGATCCCAGAGACTTTTGCTGAATTCCTGACAGCTCCACCCCCTGAACTCCCAGGGGATTATCCCACTGTCCCTGACATGGCCCAATCACTCACCTTGTAATCCAGAAGAGAACTCATCTGATCCACTTCAGAATTGCTGATCAGATCACTCTCCTCATCATCTAAAATTTCTATTTTCTGAAACAGAAACAAACAGTTCATTCCAACACACAGAGGAGACAAAAAAATGGGGACCCACATCCAAAAGGGCAGGAGGGAGAAAGGATGAAGGATAAATGAAGGAGGAAGGATGAAGGATAAATGATGGAGGAAGGATGAAGGAGGAAGGATGAAGGATAAATGATGAAGGAGGAAGGATGAAGGATAAATGATGAAGGAGGAAGCAAGGAGAGCTCAGTGCTGGCTCCTGAGCTGTTCTGAGCCTTGCAGCCCCATTAGATGGCAATCATGCACCTCAGCCAGGAGAGCCAGCAGGAATCCAGTGGAAGCTGCTGCCATGGAGACTCAGGCTGTTTACAGAGGAGGAGCTCCCTGGCCCAGCTTTCTGACTTTGAGTTGCACATTTATCCCCTCACAGCCCTGCTCTGCTCTGCTGCTGCAAAGGAGGGTTTGGAAATAAACCTTTGGATAAACCAGCAAGTCCTGAGCTACTCCTGCCTAAAGAAATCAAGGAGTTCTGATCTGACCCTGCCTGGCCACATCCCCTCAGCTGTAGGGATGCTGATCCAAAGGGCACTTCCAAATGCATAAATATGGACATTTTTACCTAATTCACAAAAATTTGGAGAGCTTTTTATACTGGGTTTCTAAAGATATCTAAAGCGCAGTGTTAAGGCCAAGCTTAACACTAAGACTCAGAAATACATCCCAAGTTTTTTTACTGTTTTTAATTGTTTTGACAGTTGTGAACATTTATGAACCTGTCCATAATAAGTTACAGCAATTTTCCTGTTTTTTAGGATGGAAGGGCCCCCACAGACCCAATCCATGTGCATGGGTCATTCCTGAGGTGTTAATTCAGGTTTTTCCTGCAGCATGTGGCCCCTCCTGCCTGCACACCAGGAATCTCCCTGAAATCACTGAGGAGAAATCCCTGAAATCCTTCCAGGGGCATTCCCAGCTCTCCCTGGCAGGACCCACCCAGCTCCCAAGCCTGTGCTGAGGGCAGGGAGGATAAAGCACATTCTGTGTGCTCAGTGTCTGCCAGCCCAGCTGAAGTGACACCAGCCCAGAGCTTTGATGTCCCCGAGTTCTGCTGTTCCCTCAGACCCTCAGGAACACTGGGACTCAAATATTTTTGGTTTCAGACTCAACTTGAGGAAAAGAGTCCCTAAATAACTGCTAAACATTCACATTCCCCTTCTTAGACACACTTTTTAAAATAGGAGGGGAAGGAACAGATTAGAATTTCAAATAGGAAAACCTCTTATGCAAATACAATGCATTTTAGTCCAATTTTAAGTGCATTTTTAAAAAGTTTTGTTACAGTGTTTCAGAACAAAGTATGCAGAAATTCTTCCTTGGTTTTGTTCCGTTGTTGTATCAAATGACAAAATTCAGGCAGGTTGGGGAGCTGAGTCTCTTGGGCACCATCTCTCCAAACCATTTCTACATCTCTACAAACCATCTTCTACTCTGAAGGTTTCAGGGTTTTTTCCTGCTGTGTTTTAGAATTTTTAGTACATCTTTAAAGCTCAAATAGGAAGGACTTTTAACACATACAACTGAAGCTGTCACCTAGTGAAAAGCACAAATGCTGGACAACAACCTCAACGTTAATTAAGGAGTTATTAATTTGTGGAAAAGGAAAGGTACACATACCACATTATCAGTGGAAACTGGATTCTGGTCATCATCTTTGTGGCAAATTTCTTCATTTTGAAGAGCTTCATTTGTCTCTTCTGCAGAAATAAATTTGTTTTGTCAGGTTTCAGTCCTATTTTATGCTGAAGGACCATTAATGGTGTTTACCACCAAATGTCACAGCTGCTAAATCCAACAGCAAAGTCATGGTATCAATGTCTAATCATAAACAGAATATCTGCCTTATTAAAAAGACATCTTGTCACAAGCATTTCAGGCCAACATCAAACCACCTCCCCCCTGAAACAACAACAAAACTCTCAGTTATTCTCTGCACCAAAACCTTCCCATTTTTAGGTTCAGGTTGGAATATTCAAAGGTGATGCAGAGTTTCACATCAGAGATGTGCAGAAGTTGGGTTTGTTTAAATGAAAATGAATTCCTACATGAAAAACCCTGCATTCTCTGAAATTCTGGGGTACATATCTAAATCCCACTTCCCCCTTGCAGACACTGATGGGTTTTGAACCAAAACCAGATCAGCTTATGGCAAATGCTTACCCCCAGTAAACCTAAGGGCTTTTTTATGTATAAACACTTGAAAACAGAGCAGATTTTACCCTGGTGTTTCAACCACAAAGCAAGAGATGATTCCACTGACCTTAAAGGCCAAGGAGAACACAAACCCCAAAGAAAGTTAAGTTCTATTTGCACCGAAAATTGAAGTTTGTTTCTCATATTTACTTGACTTCTGCATATTAAAACATAAATCTATGATATATATTAAATATCAAGAGGAAAAAAGGGAAGGGGCAGCAAGGTTCAGGAGACTCCAGGGTCTGTCACCTCCACACAAACACTGGGATAACAGAATTTCCCTGGGACTATCAAAACCAGGGAAATGTTTAGGCCAGACCATAGAGAGCCAGTTCATGGTTTTAAACAACTTTGAAGTTAAAAATCTCTGCACTGAGCAAATTTGCTTGGGAATTGTTTCAAATGAGCTCAGTGTGCCACCAGTCCCAGCTCCATAGGACAGACTGTGCCAGGAGCACAGGGATCAGAGGGAGCAAGGAAGGGAGGAGGTGACAGGGTGAGGACACAGCTCAGGGACATTCCAGGGCACAGGAACTCTGTGACCCTGCCAGTCACCCCTTGGATTCCACAGCCAAAGGAAGCAGCTCCCTACAGCATTCCCAACCCCTTGAATATTCATCCTGAGCTCACAGAACCAGCACAGCCCTAATGGCCTCCACCTACACACTGTGGATTCAATTAACACACAATTAAAAAAGGTGAGGCAATATGAGAGCTTTAATGATCCATTTTGCATCAGAGCAGAGCTTATTTTTTTATATTTATGCACTACATTTTAAAAGCAGAAGCCATCAACTTTAATCACTCTAATTAGGTGACCAAAAATCGCTTTTGTCTGTCTTTCAGAGTGGTTTTCTGCTGTTGTGGTTTCGTTTTTTTAATAAATTAGGACCAAAAGTTACAGTTCTCAAACATTGGAGCAATTCCCTATCTGGGACTGAACATAACCCATGGCTATTGGGGGAAATTTTCCCAGGAAGTTCAAACCCAGCTGAGCTGCAGCAGTGGAACCTCCTCCTTTGAACTGGAGAAATGAATAGAAATAATTGTAGTGGGAGAATAAAGGAATGAAGGTGGGATTCCTGGATGCTGTGGAAATCCTGTTGTTTCCTTGCACTTCCTCAGGCTTTGGCACCAATAATGCTCCCAAATGTTCAGCCTCACCTTGCCTGTGAAAGCCTGGCTCAACCAACACAGAGTTACTCCTCACTTGATCTGCAGACACTTCAGACTCTTCCCTGTCACCATTTCCTCTCAAGCAGATCTGACTTAAATCAGCTCCTTCCCCACCTCAGGCAAATCAAAGACTGAGATTCCTCATCTCACTTGGCTTTCAATCACTTGACCCATTTCTCTGCCACCTTATTCCCTCCACGCTCGAGTGTGACAAAGCTCCCAAACTCATTCCCAGCTGCCCCTGTTCCCCTGGCTCTTCCCTTCATGTTCTGAGGAATGACAGGACCAGCCTGGCACACTGAGAGCACAGCAGCAGCCCAAGGTCAGACTCTCAGCTCGCAGAGCAAAGGCTCCATTGATCTCTAAGCACAAGCACTGGCAGCAATCAGTGAGTGGGGATGTGCTGGGCTCAGGGACAGGAGGGACAGGGGGACATCGATCCCATGGGCTCCTGGGGGGAAAGGGAATTCAGCTGGAGGCATTTCCCACTCCAGACCCTGCAGTTTACAGAGGACACCCCCTGTGTGTGCAGCTCCAGGGCTCCTGGGCTGTGCCCTGCTCCTGCTTTGATCTGCTGGTTGTGTTTGCCTGTCACACAGAGCAGCAGGAGGCCAGGGCAGCTCTGTGTTCCAGCTGAGCTAAGGGGTTCCCTGCCAGCAGAAATGGGAATGCTCAGACCCAGCAGCAGCTCCAGCCCCACCAGTGCCTGGGGTGGCTCAGGATCACAGGGATGAACTGTGGAATCATGGGTTGGGATGGGAGGGACCTTAAAGCTCGTCCAGTGCCACCCCTGCCATGGCAGGGACACCTTCACTGTCCCAGGGTGCTCCAAGCCCTGTCCAACCTGGCCTTGGGCACCTCCAGGGATGGGTGTCAAATGGAATGGCCATTCCAGCTGGCTGGGGAGAACTGAGCAGTTGGCAGAGAGCATTTTCTAAATGTGGCTCTCACTTGCACCAGCAGAACGTGAACTCTTGACTTTGTTTCAGGTGAATCTGGCAGAAATGGGGCTCTTATGATCAAAGGTTTCTCCAATCTTTGTACAACAAACCCAACAAAACTCAGAGACACAGAGGCAGAAGAAAGAGACCAAACAGTACCTTCAGCCCAGGCAGGGTGGAGCACTTGTGACTCTGTCAGACGTTTTTGAATGTGTACAACAGAATCCAAAGCATGCACACTGCACAAAATTGAAAATATAGGCACAGTAGTAACTGCATTCCAAATACCTTGTGAGCTTCCTTCAGATAAGCAGATTGACACTTCATCATTCCTATCATTATCATCCCCCACTTCAGTAGCAGTTTCCTCTCCTGGATTAAGTGCTGATTTAGAAACAAATTCAGATTGATCAGAGAAATCAGCAGGACCTCCTCTAGGGGGTGGGACCTCAATCCCCATTAAACGATATTTCCGTCTTCGATTCCCAATCCAAGTCTTGTAAGAGAAATAAACATGAATGATATCAGAAACTATGACAAGAGCAACAGGCCCCCAACCAAGTGACATCAGACATCTGGCCTACAGGAGCCAGGTGCAGCCAGCAGCCCAGGGAGCTCAGTATTCCCCAGTGTTTCACCCTCCTGAGGCTGCTCCCCAAACCCTGGGCCAGGTTCAGCTTTCCAAGGGAATCAGGAAGGTGCACAGCAAAGGAAAAGAAGCAATAGGCACAAATGGCAGCAAGGGAAGTTCTGACTGGAGTTGAGAATATAAAAGAAAAAATAATGTTTTACAGTGATTCAGAGGGACAGTTTGTCCATAGAAGCCTTGGTACTCCAGCCTTGGAGGTACTCAACGTTTCAATGGACAACATCCTGAGAAACCTGACTTGATTCCAAAGTAAATCCTGCTCCAGACAAAGAGCAGGACTAAGTGACTTTGTAAGGTCTCTGCCTCCCTAAATTATTCAACAAATTTAACATAAGATCTCTGGTCCAGGTTCTCCTACTCTGCAACTTCCACAAGGGGACTGAAGCATCCGATGACCCAGACACCTCCCCTGTTCTAGGATTTCCTACAGCACAGAGGGAGCTGGCCAAGGTGACAGATCCACAGCACTCCCCTTGGAGGATAGAAAGGAACCTGGAAGGACAAAGCTCAGAGCAGCTCATCCTTCATCCCCTTTGGCTGTACAACAGAGCTTCAGGAAAAGCTGTTTGCAGTGAGTGCAGAGGAGCACACTGGGAACAGTCTGGGAGATGAAAGCAGCCCAGGGAACCTGGAAACCCTCCCATGGTGGATGGAGATGGATGCTTTAAGTTCATCTCACATCAATAAAATTGAATTTCAAAGGAGAAAATAAAAAGAAGAAAAGACCCACATTCTAAATTCTCCAAGTGGATCTGTACACCTGGTCATTAATTTGCCCTTTCTGATGAAGAAACATTTACATAAAAAATTATTAAAGATTCAGAGTTTAACTCGATGTAACAAGAATTGTCTGCAACTCTTCATCTCCTGAGGCTCTCCTGTCCCTTGTGTCACCCAGGCTTTCAACTTCTCATCTCATCTCAACTCTGCTCAACAGCCCCTGTACCCCAGACCCTCCATTCCATCAAATCAGCCTCCACTGGTAACCAAAAATCCTTCCCAGAGCCAGGAATTCACTTCTTCACCAACTGTTCCTCCCACTCTCCTGGGCTGGCTCTCATCCCCTTCCCACCACCTACAGCCCCAGAAACAGCAGCAGCTCCTGGGTTTGGAAACATGACCAGGCCATGGCAAAATGAACATCCTTACATCCTTTCCATGAGGCCTCTGTTCCAAATGAGTAACCCAAGACATTAAAATATTTCAGGATTTTCTTTAAAGGCACACTAAGCATCACTCTGGCCTTATTTCAGAAACACCTGCCCTGTTCCTCTTCCTAGGGTTCTGAGAAAGTTGAATAAAAAACTTTTTGCTTATAATACCTTGATTACCAAAGAGAAAAAGTAAAGGAATATTAACAGCAGTCCCAAGTACTAAACACAGTTTCATGCTGTGCCAGCCTTGGAAAAAAAAAACAAGCCTTTTAAAGCTGCATCTCTAACAAGCTGAAAGATAACATGCTGAACACTATTTTTAGCAAATCTTTTTTGTTGGCTGATATTTGCTTTCCCAGCTTGCTGATTTTCCTCTCTGAAGAATGCACAACAGGTATGCAGAGAACTACCTAGATCATTTTTTTCTATTACCTACAGTTTGGGGAAAAAAAATTAAAGAAAGCCCCCCACACAAGTAGCCCTTTGAGATCTGGGTCTCTTTTTTCCAAGCAGTGTATTGCCATTCTTTAAATCATCTTGTGATTTTACCAAACAGTGCTAACAAAATTTAAAATTCAATCTATCTCTTTTTTAGTAAAGAAGGCACTTGGGAAAGGCAGATCTTTTCACAGGCTTTTCAAAGCAGAAAATCTTTCATTCAACATACTGAGAATGTCAGAGAAGACGAACATGTTTTGATAGTGTCTCAAATTAAATGGGGAAGAGAAGGTTCCACATCCTGTGTGCTGTGCTGAACAGAGAACGTTCTGGAACAGCAAAACAGTGAGGGCAAGAGCAGACTGGGATTGCCATGTGGGAAATCAGCTTGAGAGTTCTATCCTTAAAATATATTCTTATCCTTTATCTAAAATACATCCTTAAACCCTTCCAGCAAGGTCAGTGAGTGGATGGCATCATTTGTGGTCTGTTCTGGTACAGGCGAGGCTGAGCCTTCTGGGGTGTCCTGGTCCCTGCCCCGGGGACAGAAACATTCCAGCAGGAGGAAAGGTCTGCACAGAACCCCACAGTGACACCCTGTGTGCCAGTGGGGATGTACCCAAGGGAACACACCAAGGGTGTCACTGTGCTCTGCAGGAGGCGCTGCCAGGGGGAACAGCTTCACCTTCAGAGAGCAAAGGGAAGTCCTTGGAAAACAAGGAGCAGCTTTGTTCTCTGCAGAGAAAATAATGATTCTCTGCAGCTACCAAAAGTACAATTGGGATTTTTAGAATTCCTGTGCCCACAAAAAGAAATACCCAGATTGGTGTTCAGCCCTGAAAGCAGCTTTGGGACCATGTGGATGCACCAAGGCAGAGGTCTCAGGCTCAGCCCTGCTTCTGCAGCACTGCCAGGGATTCAGGAAACAGCTGCAAAAAGAGGATGAAGCCTGGAAGGAATAATCCCAATTGTCACACCTGTCACAAGGGAAAGGAAGGCTCCTGTCCTTGTCTGACTGCAAACACTGGGGCCATTTCCTGAGGCTGGGATGGGCAGAGACCCCAGAGGTGCTGCTGGGTGTGTGCTCATCCAGGACACAGTGACACCACACCCCAGCCTCTGGAGGAGATGATGTGCAGGTTCTGGGAGCCAGGTCATCTCCAGCACAGCTCTGCCTCCCTCAGCCACCCACAGCAGCCATCAAACTGAGCTGACCCAGAATTCCTCCATCACACCTCAACCTGCCCTCAAGACAGTCTTGTAACATATTTTTTTTTCTATTTTGGAGCATTTTCTTTCATACATTTTTCCCTATAAGCATGAATGAGAAGTATTTTCCCTGTATCTTTAGAAAAGCCCTTTTTTGGTATCTTATTAGCAATGTAAATAGTACCTTTCAGTCTTCTAGGATCTCCCTCAAAAATGTAACACTTCTACTTAAAATCTTCCTCAAGAGAATGTCAAACAGCTCCTAGTGCTGCTTCTGCTGCTGATCAATAAGACCCTGACCTGAGGGCTTTTACTAAACATAGACTGCAGAAAGAGCAGGAGAGAACTTCCCAACATGGTCATTCATTATGTAATACGTGAAATCTATTTCAAGCTTCCCCATGAAATTTTTAAAGCCTTTCATCTGTCCTATTTTTGCTCCTGCGACAAGATAAGGGAAGACTCTGGATTTCTTACCCGAACTATTTCACAGTCAACATTTAATTCTGCAGCCACAGCTTCAATTTTCTCTCTGCAGACTGAGCCCAGGCTGGTCATGCCATTGTCCCAGTATTTCTTTAGGGTAGCTAAGTCTCGGTCACTAAATTGTGTGCGGTCCTGTAACTGCAAGATAAAAAAATTACTGTTAGATTGAAAAGAAATCTGCTTATCTGAGCACTCATGTCCACAGGTCTCCCACACAGCAACACACACGTTCCACTGTCTCCATGGCTCTTCTTCTCTTTTAAGTCTCCCTTAAGAATTTGGGGTTTTTTTGATTTCTTTTTTTTATCCAGGGCACTTCAGAGTTCCCCGGGATTTGCTGTAAAGGCAGTGGCAGCATTAACACAAAGTTTAAGGCACTTCAGCTTTGTTTCAACTCCACCTGATTTCTTTGGTAATTTGTTTTATCTCATTCTATAAGGCCTTACTGAAAATAACTTTTTTTCCCCCTTGTGCTGTTTACTCTCTCCACCCAATTTATGCAAATTACTCCTTAAAGGCTTTTCAAGTTTCTCACCCTCCCCCCTAAAAGTTCTTTTATCTTACTGCAAACTACAACACATGCATAATTCAAAGGATTCTGACTTCCTAAAGGGAATACTTTAATGTTTATGTGGTGAGCTTGAGTTTAAATTGGTTCCACTGTTTATCTTCGACTTCCCAAACTCTTTGTCTGCGTTTACCAAAACATGTGATAGTGGATCAGTGATAAAAGGAGTAACACTGAAAAAGAATTCCTAAACATCTTACCACTATTTGAACTGGTGTGAGCACAGAAAGTATTTCTCTGGTAGAGCTTCCAAGCTTTAACAAAGGCTTTTCATGCAGAAATTTATCTAAAATCTACAGTTTCATTACACCAACCCATGTTGTTCACTTTTCCTGCTATTCAGAGGACAGAAAATCAACCACAAAGTCTGCACTGGTAACTTGAGCCCATGTGCCACACGTGTCATTATTTCAGTAGCTGAATTGTGTTCATGATTTCAATAGCTGAATTCTGTGTTTGCTCATTTAAAAACTGTTAAAAGTTAGAAAGAAATAATTTTAAGTGGAATAAAAAGTAATTTTACAGAACTGGGATCGTTTGACAATCTTGTACGGTTCCCAGTTCTAGCCTTTGTTAATCTTCAGAATATTGTAATTTTTGCAATTTTCCTCTCTAAAAAATTACTATTTCTCAAAGTGTTAGAAGCACTTGAGTCTCCTCAATGTATGAACCCAAAATAGAGGCATCAAACTTTTGTCTTCCTAAACTAATCCCAGTAAAGAGATGTACCAGATAAATTCAAATGCGGTTTGGTTGCACTTGCTGACCTTGGAGGCCTTTCCAACTTTGATGAATCCCGAATTAATGGAGTGCCCACCAGGCACTCAGAGCTTTTCCTGGCTGTAGTTCCACCATCTCATCACTATTCAATGGTTTTCACCTCATAATTGCTGTATAATGATGTTAATGTAATTTATATTTTCTGCTTTGGAGTCTCTGTCTCATTTTAGCCATTTTGTTCTCCCAAGGCCAGCACTGAGGAGCCCCAGTGCTCTGCCAAGTGAGCAGCAGCTCTGTGGGATCTCAGAGATGCTGAAGGATCATCATTTACACAGCCTGCTCTCAATAGCTGCACCAGCATCATGGGATCAGTGTCACTCCTTAAGCTCAGCAGATGTAAATGACACTTGAGCATGGCCAAATCTCAGCTCCAGATTAGCTGCCTTCTGTAACACGCTGTGCCATGGGCCTTATCAGCACTTCCTTAGGGAAATCACAAACTACCTTCAATTACAGGATCATCCCCTTGACATGGATCATACCCAAGTTTGACTCCTGCATTATAAACTGCTTAAAAATTACATAATGACTTTTGTCAGAAAATAAAGGATAGAATTTCTACATTGTACATGTAACTAAGCTTCCATCAATTTAGTTAATAACCTTCCCATGCTTAATATCATCAGGGGAAATGAGGGACCAAGAGCAAAACCTCAGAGCCCTACAAATATCATAATATTCATCATTATAGGAGAAAATATCAGAAGATAATGTTGGAAAGCTTCATATTTATGACAATACTTATAGGTGAAGGCAAGCCAGTGATTCAGTTCTTGTTTTTTACGTCATTAAGCTCTGAATACAATTCTCATTTCCTCTCTTCAGATAGCCAGCTTGCTAATTCAGGGCTTGGCTTTGACAGTGCTGGCTGTTGGCTGAATCCTTCACATTTCCCACTTCTGTTGGCCAGTTTAGGAAGCAGCAGAGGCTTTGTCCAGCAGGACCCAGCCTATGCATTCCCAAGGAAAAGCAAATTGAATCAGCAGCTGTGCCGCGCAGGGTTAAACCCGGCTTATCCCCGACCTCCCAAGTGGAACAACACCATCCTTGGAGGAGATGACCCAGTTTATCAGAGACATTCCTGGCCCCTTGCCAGCCCCTCATCCCCCACAGAGCAGCAATTTCTGTGGTGCAAATCCGGTGTCTGTAATTGGGGTGAATAATTGCACAGAGTGGAGTGTCCTCATCCTGCCTCTGCTCAGAGCCTGCGCTTCCACAGCGGCTCTCACACAGCCCTTGAAAATGTTTCAGGCCACGTGCACAAAGCTACCCACAAATTTCAGATTATTAATCAAAGACATGCTAAAAAATGGAAGAACTTGAGGTTTTATACATAACTTGCATTTATGCTGCAGCTGAGCACTGTGTGTGCTGTTCATTTCAATTGCAGTGAAATCATATTAAATCAACATTCAGTTCTGATACTTGCTGATGAATTGGGCTGAGGTAATGGTTATTTTTAGCAAACAAACCTCTCACAAACAAATTTGCCATGCCTTTGATCCCTGTCACTGCTTCTCTTATATTTTGGGAGGAATGGGAAGATCAGAAGCACTCAAAGTATTCAAGGTATGAACAAATCCCAGATTCTTCTATACAAGCACAGTCTCATTTTGCCTTATTCACCTTTCCCAGTGACACCAGCATGGAGCTCTCTGAACCCTGACACTAATTAATATCCATTTTCTTCAGAGATTATCAATTCCCACCTCAAGATCTTATTTGTATGTATTAACAGTGTTTTCTGAATCATTCCACTACATTTCTCCTTTCCTATCTGCGCCATTTAATATCATTCTTACTTTTCAGTTTATCATTTCTTGATTTCCCACATACAAATTCTGAAGGCCTGCATTTTCCCTTAACACACCAAGATATTTAACCTCATTAAAGCTGTTCCAGATTACACATTCCTTCATCCTGAGGTTTCAGCTTCAGGTTTCACCAGTGCCACAAAGCTGCCCCCTGTCAGTGACAGCCATGCTGAGCTCAGGCTGGACACTGCTGCTCACACACAGCTGCACAAACCCAGGCACAGAGGTGTCTGAGGGCAGCCTTCCACTCCTGCTCACACCCTTCCACTCCTCCTGCTCTCACACTGCCAGGTTCCTGCAGCAGAGACTTTCTGCATCTCTCCCCACTGGCTGGGTAAGCATGAAGTTTGCTCTGATGGAAGCAGAGGTGATAAATATTTCATAGCACCCCATTGTGAGAAAAGCTGTAACTGCTTCAGCATGCAGCCAAAATTACAGATATTCTGTTAATATCTGTTTCTAAATCAAACTCAACTAAAAAGATTAAAAAAAAAACCAAAAAGAGATATCAATGCAAAGAACAGTCTAGCAAAGAAATGACACTCTGAGCCCTATCTATCAATGTATTCCTCACACTGGACCAGACAGTTCTGCAGTTCAGGATGCATTCCTTGCCTGCAGGCTCCCAGCACAGTGCCACAAATCACCCTGAGGTGCCCTGACTGCAGGAGCTGTAATGAATCCCTGCCAGGGCTCTCTGAAGCTGCTCTGAGGTGTTTGCTCACAGCTCACATTGGTTCTCCTGAGCCTTGCACACCCCAGGCCAAGGAGGAGCTTTCTTTAGGGTTGTTCAGATGTGTCCCCCCTACAAAATGCAGCTGTGCTCCCATGCCCAGAACAGCTGGGGCAGCTGTCACACCTCAGCCCCTCCACCTGCCCAAAGTGTGCCTGCACTCCTGTGACAGTTTTATTCAAACAGCCAATGTGCAAACAATGACACAAAAATCCAAATCTAGCACTCTCCACCCATTTCAGTATTTTCCTGTCCCCAGATACAACAGCCTGAGCCCAGACACCCCAAAGTGAAGTTCAGGGCAGGCAAGCTCCCCCTTTGTCCCCCAAAATGGAACTTCACCACTAAAGCCCAGCTTACCCAGAACCAGCACCTGTGTGACAAATGTTCTCCTTTAAAGCTACCCCAACCACAGCCCATCCTGCTCAGACCTCAGCTGACACAGAACTGAAGCACAGTCAGTACACTCAAGACCTAAGAACAGAAGTGAAGATATTTTCTCCCTTTTAATTCTCCTTAACTGGTACCTTCACTGCTATTTTTGAATCCTTGTTATCCTTCCACCACCCTGTGAAAAACCAAAAATCAATGCATTCATAAAGGCCACTGCACATGCACCAGGACACAGAACTCTGGCATCCAGAGACACTCTCGTGAGTTACTGACAGGGTGATATTTCTAGACTAATATTCATTAACAATCAGGATTACATCATCCTACAGCAGAGCTGAGCACACAAGAAAGAGTTTCTGCAGATCTGCACAGCTTTTATTTCTCTCCTGATACAGTTGAAGGACAGGGCAAGGGAAACAAAACATCACGGCAGAAGATTAAAAATTCAGAGCATCTAAAAGACAATCTTCTCCATTTTAACCAAAATACAGATTAGCCTTTTTCCTGTTTGAATGGCAGTAATTGCCATAATGGCACTTCTACAACTCCATCCATTCTATTTCTGTTCCCTCACACTCTTTATTCAGAAGAATTTCACAGTTGAAATCAAAGTTTCTAGGAAGTAGGAGCTTTTTCTCCTTTGCTTGTCTCACCCCTGTGTGTACACAGCAGTTTCAGAGTGCCAAGTCCTCCACTTGCCCCCTGAAGAGGCTGAATCTGCACTCAGGCTGGGAAAGTGCAGCCACAAATCTGGACACAGATGTTGTCAAACAGATTGGATTGACCAAAGGGTTTTATGCACTTTATTGATTAAAAAGACAAATGAGTAAAGGTCTAAGGAAAAAATTCTCTAATTACAATCCTTAATGGTCTCTCACTGCAGGGAAGACATTGAGAGGCTGGAGACAGGGAAGGGAATGGAGCTTGGGCAGGGTCTGGAGCCCAGGAGGGGCTGAGGGGGCTGGGAAGGGGCTGAGCCTGGAGCAAAGGAGGCTCAGGGGGGCCCTTGTGGCTCTGCACAGCTCCTGACAGGAGGGGACAGCCAGGGGAGGCTCTGCTCAGGGAACAGGGACAGGAGAGGGAACGGCCTCAGGCTGGGCCAGGGGAGAGTCAGGAAATCAGGAAATATTGGAAACCAGGATATCAGGAAATATTTTATCACTGACAAGGTTGTAAAGCATTGGAACAGGTTGCCCAGGGCAGGAGTGGAATCACCATCCCTGGAAGCATTCATAAAACCTGTGGATGTGGCCTTTAGGGACACAGTTTAGTGATGTTGGGCTGACTGAATGATCTTAAAGGTATTTTCAAACCTCAGGGACTCTATGATTAATGAACAGGCACCTCCACATCCTTGAATGTTTAAATTTACTCCAGAAATGCCTTCTACTGCTGGGGTCAGGTATCCAGCATGACCACAATGCCCAACAACCCCCCAGTGCTGCAGGCAGGGACCAAAATCACCCCAGTCCCAGCCCTGAGCTCCCACTGCCAAATCTGAGCTGGCTCTGGCACACACCTGACCCCAGAACAGCACTGAACTCTAAAAATAACCTCAGCAGCAGAATTTGTACCTGCCAGGTCACACACCCCACCTGGATTACCTTACAATTGGGTCTTGGCTAAAACCTCCCCATTTAGCTGTGAAACTCTACCCAGGACACTCCCCAGCTCCTTGGTGAGATGCTCTGAAAGGTCATTAAGTGATAGAGGGAATGAGCCTTCCACAAAAGAGCTGCATTTTAAAAAGCCTCCTCAAGAGAATTAGCACTTAGGAAAGAAAGAAGATGGATTGAGCACAACAGGATTTGTACCAAAGTACCAGTTCCTCTGGGAGATGCTCTTATAAAGTGCTCTCTGTACAAAAAGAAGTCATTGTACCAAACCTTGCAGAAATGGGAAGTTCTTCAGCTGAGACCTAGAAAAAGTCTGAGAGAAAACACCATTAACTGATGGTCCTCAGATTCCTACTTCTACAGGAAACACTGCCACACTCACACTTTTGGAAGACTAAAGAACTGAAAATAATAAAGGAAAAAGTTCTGATACAGCAGGAGAAAGCAAGGAAAGGCTCTTCCATTGCCTGGATCTCACGTCCAACAGAGCAGGCACTGCCAGGGCACTGCCAGGACATTGCCAGGACACTGCCAGGGCAATGCCAGGACATTGCCAGGACACTGCCAGGGCACTGTCAGGACACTGCCAGGACACTGCCAGGACATTGCCAGGACACTGTCAGGACACTGCCAGGGCACTGCCAGGGCACTGCCAGGACATTGCCAGGGCATTGCCAGGGCACTGCCAGGGCACTGCCAGGGCACTGCCAGGACATTGCCAGGGCATTGCCAGGGCATTGCCAGGGCACTGCCAGGGCACTGCCAGGGCATTGCCAGGACACTGCCAGGGCATTGCCAGGGCAGTGCCAGGGCATTGCCAGGACACTGCCACGGCACTGCCAGGGCACTGCCAGGACACTGCCAGGGCACTGCCAGGGCACTGCCAGGACATTGCCAGGACACTGCCAGGACATTGCCAGGGCACTGCCAGGGCACTGCCAGGGCACTGCCAGGACATTGCCAGGACACTGCCAGGACACTGCCAGGGCACTGCCAGGGCACTGCCAGGACACTGCCAGGGCACTGCCAGGACATTGCCAGGGCACTGCCAGGGCACTGCCAGCTCCACAGACTGGGGAGTTTGGTTTCCATGGCAGACTCTTCCCCAGTTGCTGCTTCTGACAGGGCTGGGGTGACAGAGCAGCCCCTGGCTGTACCATCCCACCTGAGGCTGGGTTTGCTGGTGAGGAGGTAGAACTGACACCTATTCAAAGACAAGTTGCAAATGCTGAAGACTAACTAAAGAGTTGGGCAGGGTTTTGGGTTTTTTTCCCTGACAAAAGCTGTTTCATACCTTGTGTTATGGTTTGGAGTTGTCTGTGAATTGAGGACACCAAACTGGCTGATTCTGCTACTGTGAAATGACATTTATGTGGATAAAATTAGACTTGATCAAGTTCCTTCAGCCAGCACTGACTAATTCTGTGCATGTGCAGAGAAGCTGCAGAGGGAGTTACTCTCCTAAGCATTCAGTTACTTCAATTAACAAACACTTCACCTTCAATATAAAAAACATATCTGAGCTCCAACCTCTCAGTTCTGATCAATTCAGATGTTGTGTTTGAGCTAAGAGCATGATTCCTACCTGGGCATCACCTCACACTGCATTACAACCTTGACCTGCTTCTAAGTTAGACATCAACTTCACCTCAACTGAAACACTGCACCTGCAGATAATGTTTGTATCAAAGGAAAAAGGGAAAAAACCCACCCAAGGTAAATAGAACTGACATTTTCCACAATGCATTTTTATCAACTTTTCATTGCTTCACTTGATGCATTAGATACTTAAATGGAAATGTACTTACTGCTCTTTTTCTGGAACAACCTGTAATCCAAGGCACAGTAAGGTTTCCTGAAATCTGCAGAGGGGAAGGAGGAAACAGAACAGAAAACAAGAGCAGCTTAGGTTGATGTGAGAGCCAATACTGAGCCTTCAGCACTGTGCATTCAATTCTGACACCAACGTCTGTAAACAGGTTAAGACTGAAAACCAAAGTCCCACTCACCTTTACTGCCAAGAATAAAACATTGTTTCTTTGGGTGAGGGCAAGATAGCACAGTGACAACTGGGGTGTTCCTGTACTTTTGGTACCCCAAAACTTGGATTTCACAACAGCAGCTTCCCTTTCCATCTGGCAGGATGAGCAGACTGGAGTCAGACAAGGGCTGAGGACTGAGCTGCCCTCACATCTTTTTCAGTTGCTTCACTTCAACTTCCAGAAAAAATGCTCTCGTGTTTGTCACTGAGTTGTTCAATGTCTCATGTTAAAGATCTGAGTACCAGCAGAAATTACAGGGATCTCAGGATGGAGAAGGAAGGAGAAGGGGTGTGAAGGCACAGGAGAGCCGCTTCCATTCCTACTGCTTCTCCATCATTCCCAGAGGTCAGACTTCATTAAATAAATCTCAGAGTGTTTTCCCTGACCATTGAGGGGTGTCATAGCCTGGAATATTTCAGGCTTATTAAAGATTCCATGTTCATCTTCTGCTGCAGACAAGCAATGCTTGAGAGACTAAACACAGCTCTGGAGAGATCAATCACCTGTGAGGAAAAAACCTGTGCACTCCTGACTGACCCAAAGTGCTCTGAGAGTTTCTGTGTTTGCAGAGTTCCTCACTGAAGGCTCCTGCAGCATGAGCACAACAAGCACCGCAGCCCTGCTACAGGTGGCTGCTGTACAAACACATAAAACACTTTTATTCTTCAAGCTTTTAGCTGGAAGCACTTGGAGGTCACCCAAAGTCAGACACTTTCTCATGACAGCACAAGGAGGGTTGAGGGGGATGAAAGGAGCACCCTCCCTTCTCAAGGACCATTAGGGTTTGAGCCTAAAATATGAATTTCTGCACTGCACACACTTTGTCTATTGTAACCCCTGTATCCCACACAACAGCTTCACACCACAGAATCCACTGCAAAGGCACCCTGAGGAATCACCCAGGTAGCTCCTTTTCACTCATTTAAAGGGGGCTACAAAAAAAAAGTAATTTTCTATGGAAATAAAGCAACATCTACCTGGCAGAGCATTAAGGGTTGCTGGGAAGACAAATGCACTCAGTTCTGACAGGGATGAGGCCAAAACCAGCCAAGTTCATCTCAAGAGAACTCCCTGGAGTACAACATGCACAGCACTGCTCTGAGCTGCCCTTGTCAAGGGCTGGGCTTGGGAACAGAGTAAATCAAAATACAGATTCTCAACAGTGTTCCTGTCCCTTAGGGTGGGGGGAAGAAACCAAGACTAAATCCCAGCTCAGCCTGGAGGACAGCACAGGAACCTCTGCACTCCAACACACCCAAAGGCAAACTAAGACAAGCAAGTAGGCTGAAGAATTTGTTTACTGAAACTGCTCAGGCATTAAAATTGATCACTTAATTAAATTTAGTCTTAAGTTACACTAACATGAATTTGATTAATTGAACCAGTAAGGAAGCTATAACTAATTGCTAATTAGATACCCCACCAATATATGACAGTAATTGCTTCATCAAAACATGAATCACACAGTCCTGACTTTGAAGAAGCATCTACTTGGATGTTCAACTACTCCAATAATCATTTAGCTCAGGTTTCATCTATTTTTAAACTCAAGAAGATTTCCCCAAGTTTAAGGATTTTCATCCTTGTGCTGATGGATAAATTAGCTAAACATGGGCAATAAATTAACATAAACTGGCTACAAAAAATGAAATGTCATCCTGTACAAGCCTAAAAGGATTCAAGCACCTTAGGAAGTCTCTAATACCCAGAAATGTCACCTCAGGGGCTCACAGGGTGTGAGCTCACAGCAATAAGGGAATTAACAGCTTCCTGCTCAGCTTTCCCAAGGTTTTAAACTCTGGAGTGACAAGGGATATGACAGGAAACAGAAGCTCCAAATCCAAAGAGCAGGGTGTCAGACAGGCATGGAGGTCAGCTGGGGTACACATGAATTCCTCACTTACCAGAAAACCAGGTGTGTTGTTACAACAGGGGGAAGTAAAAAATACCCCAAAACAAAATTCCAGAGATCTTATTCTGATCCATAAAACACCACACAAGCAGGTAAAATATCACCTACCATGAACTGTTCCAGCTCTTCAAAAAGACTCAGTTCCTACCCTATAAAACCCCCAAAACAAAGTTATTCTTAATTTCATTAAAAAATTAAAATAGAAGAAATCAATCTCTCTGATGCTTTTTCAAGAGTGAAATAAAGCACCATGAGCACACAGCTGATGGAGGCATCAGTAATGGATTTCCCTTCCTGAAACTTTATAAAATGCCTTTAACTCAATTGTAAGCACTTTCACCAACCCTTTACTGGACTGATCTGCACATTTACAGCTTTTCTTCTCCTGTGAAACTGGGATGGTAAAAGTAAGCAGCATTTCAGGAATTCTATAACCAAGTAAGAAAAGTAACAGCAAACACTGAGAGACTGAGTGAGAGTAAAGGAGAGAAAGGCACATTTGATGTGAATCTACTTCCCAGAATTTACCCTCTGTCCATCAAACCTCTGCTTTACCCAGAGCAGTAATAATTCAGGTGAAAACTGGCACTGACTTGGACTCAAAAGTTTTCCTTCAAATGTCACATGAGATAGAAACAAGTCAGGAAAAAAGGAAAAGAAAAACTAAAAAACCCTAAAAAAAAACATGATTCACAAAGTCTTGCTCTCTACCCTGGTGAGCAAAGCACAGGGAAAGCTGATATGCTGTCGACATGGTTTATTTTCAGGAGAAAATAAAAAGGCAATAACAGGCAAGTGCATGCAGGTGACACACACAGAATCACATTCTGTCAGCCTTAAAAGACTTTTGCCTCAGTGTCTCCAGGCTATGTCATGCCAGATGGTGTAAAAATCCATGAAAAATACCAGTTTGGATGTTTCCTGCACAAGTATCTCTCCCCTTGTAATACCAAAAACTAAAAAAAATGTGTCAAGTGCTGCAGTTTCTCCTAAACATCCTTTAGTTCTTCAATGATCTGCATTTAATTTCCCCTCAGTATCACTAAAGGGATTTTAGTACAGGAAAAGGAATAAAGGGATTGAATGTAAAACTGATTATTTGAATTAGATGCTGTGGAAAAGGAAGCTGAGTTAACTCCATCACAGGGGATCCTAATGCCTGACAGAACAGAGAGACTGCCACCTGCACAGGGGGTACAGGATTCCAGGCTGACATCAATGGGGTGAGCAAAGGCACAAATGTCAGCATGAAACCACGTCCTGTGCCACGTGTGATGTGTTCTTGTGCCACGTGTGATGTGTGCCGCAGGACAACACCCAGGGAATGGCCAAGGCACGTGCTGGAAAGCCAGGGCAGCACAACCAGCAGCTCATGGGTATGACCCTCCTGCAGCCAAAATTTAGCCTGGAATCCAAGCAATCCTCACTGATCTTCACCATATGGCTACCAGGGGTTCATTTCGACAGGCAGAAGTGCTAGCACACTGCAGTGCTGCCTGCACTGGGTTTGAGGAGGAATTATCTCCACTGGAAGGCATAACAGGAGCACAGCCTGCAGAAAGGTGCCACCAACTCTGAAACAGCATTTATCTACAACCTCAGCTTTGAGGTTTGAAGACAGAGATAAACTGATGGATTACCTGGTAATTATTTTGGTTTTGTGACAGCCTCAGTTGACTTGAAGATGTAAAATGAGGAGAAAAGGTACTTCTGGCTGCGTTGGCAGGGTTATAAATCGTGCTGGACGCGGTGTGCAATGAGGTCCGTGCGGGCAGGTGGAACTCTCGGCTGTGGTACAGGAGATTGTCGGGCCCGTCGCGGGCAGGGCCCAGCTGTGCCCCGCAGCCCCCGCTGCGGCCCGGCCCGGCCGCGCTTTGGTTGTCCCCGCTGCGGCCGGAGCCGCTGCCCTCACAGTAGCGGGAGTAGCTCTGGATCTGCGCCCCCATGGAGGCCAGCTCCTCCTCGCGGGCGTACTCGTCCTCCACGTCGCCGGTCTCCATGGCGATGGACAGGCAGCTGCCCTCCAGCGAGGGCGCTTTCTGCGCGGCGCTGCCCGGCACCAGGCGCTGCGGCTGGTCCGTGACGGCCAGCGAGAACACCTCGCGGATCTCCAGGTTCTGGGTGCCGCAGCCCGGCTCCCGGGGGTGAGCCCTGGGCCCCGGGGGAACGTGCGGCGCCAGGGCCGCGGGCTCGGCCTTGTGCAAGCGCTGGCACGCCAAGGGCTCGGCCCTGCAGGGCCGGTGGCAGATCATGGGTTTCTGAGGTAACACCAGCTCCGCCGTCTGCACCGAGGAGCTGCCGTAGCTTTTCTTCGTGTGACTGTAGATGGAGTTCGCAGAATTGAGCACGCTCGTTTGCCTGGATAGAATAATGGTCTTTTCCCCCACCAAGAGGGACGCGTTTTTACAGTGGGGCACCTGCCGTCCCAGAGGGATGTGCTGCTGCTGGAAGTCCGCGTCGCTCTTGCCCGGGAGCCGTGGGATGGAGGTTTTGTGCAGCTCCGCCACGGCGGCGTTCGTGTGCTTGGCGGCTCCCGGGCGGCCCGAGGAGCCGGCGGGGCTGTAGATCCCGGTCACGATCACATCATTGTTAGAAGAGGTCCAAGAGGATTGCTGGCTTTGGGATCGAGCAATATTCACCACGTTTCTCACGGCTGCCTCCGGAGGCACGGAGGGAGTGGCGGGGGCAGTGCTCGGGGGGGTGCCCCCAGATTCCACGGCGATCTTGCTGCTCATCTTCCGCCGCTTGTTGCCAACCCACGTCTGCAAACGAGACAGCAACGCCAACAAACACAAAACGGGGTGTCAAAGAGGCAGAAAGAAATTAGCAATTCCATTTTTAAGCAGGTCTGATGACATGTTAAGTGTTCGAGTTGAGATGTAAGTTTACAAATATGTAAATCATGTACTGATTATGCAGTGAACATGACAGGGTGGAAACACCGGCCTGAACAATACAGGGTAGAGATCCAGGCCTCTCCTCTCTGGGATCCACAACTCATACACAGGACAAGCCCAGCCTCAATTCCAAAACCTCAGCTTTTCAAAAATCCTGATGCCTCCTGTCTTGAAGTGTCAAGATTTATTTAACTGACACCACCTGACTAACTTCATACAGGAAAAAAAAAACATCCCTGCCTTACACTATTCTACTCTACTAATTTTTTGTAAAATTTACAAAATGTCTGATTTGAGGCACAATTTGTAACATGCAGTAAAATGTCAGTTACTGGTCAGCTTTGCAGTCCCATTCTCCTGACCAATTGTACTTAGGGAATTCAGGTGCCTATTATAATCCTATCTGCAAGTGCCAGCTGCAACTCAAGTATCATTTTGCAAAGAACTAATCACTGACCAAGAGTTTTATAGGATAAAAAGAAAAAAAGGGAAAAAGGGGGCATTTAGGAGAAGCAGAAATGATGGGTGTAAAGAAGAGAAAGGTAAGATCATGCTAAAATGTGACAAATGCAGGACAGACACTGGATCTGTTTCCATTCTGAAGTAAGAAAAAGTTGAAATGCTGCAAATCAGGGCTCAGGAAGAAAACAAGGAATGATCCTTGATTGCAGGAAGGGAAATGGAGAGGGAAGGGAAACATGAAGATGGAGAGAACTGCAAGGAGAGGGGAGCTGGGCTGCCTCCTCTAGGACATTCAATCAGCACAAAAATAGCAAAGCAGCCCTGGCTGCACCATCAGCATCCAGATTCCTGTTACAACTGCCTGCCCGCCCCAGGAGCCTGAACCCCTGCCTGACTTTCACAGCTTCTACCACCTCCAGCTGAGAAAGCAACTTTTAATGTTTGCAGAGTTCTGAGAGAGGGGAATCCAGGTAAGGATTTAGGAGCAGGGTTGTTATTGTCAATGTGCCACTGTTAAACCAACTAAAAACCAACCTAGACTGGCCCCACTTGCTCCTCCTCAGTGTCACAGCAGCTCCTGGGAGCTCCACTGCCCTTTGTTATTTTTCCATCCAATGCCTCAGGATTTCTATTTCTGCTCCCTCTCGGACAACAGCCATTTTGTTGTCTAGTGTTTCACAAAGGGATTATTATTTCCCTTTCTGTGGAATTCATAGACTCTGGAAGAGCTCCTGTTAGCACTGGGACATTCTTGTTTTATAGGAAAAGAATGTCCCCACTGTGAATAACCACAAAGGATCACAATATTTATGATTGTGATGTGGAATACAAGTGTGACAGAGTGCATCAAAAGAAATAGTTTCACAATTGTTTCCCCCAAATATATTAATTTATGGAAACTTATTTAGCTAAAAAATAGTTTCTTAATAACATGACCTTGCTCTGATATAATACATCATACAAAGTTTCTATAGGGCAAGCCACCCTATAATATAATAAATAATAACTTAAAAAATAATAACTCAAAAAAGCCAACAAAAATCACTCCTTGTGCAATCCAGGCCCCTGCTAAATTCAACAGTCACGTGAAGATATTTCAGTGAAAACAAACTCTAAATAGGCTCTCTGGGTATAAATAAATGTCACACACACACACCGAAGTCTGATCTACGACAAGGATAAAGTTAGAGACTCCAGACCTCCCTATATTTTATGTAAAGCAATAAATGTGTATGCTTAACAAATCTGGAAGGCCTCAGTACTTACCCTGACCACGCTGAAATCCAGTTTAGTTTCTTGCGCACACTGCAATATGAGCTGAAAGCAATTTTTACTTTGATTTGTCATTCCATTTTCATAGTAACGCTGCAATATCCTTTGTTGTTCTACAGTAAACACAGAGCGCAGATTCATCTGAAAGGAAAAGGAGACACTGAAAGCTGGGTGGGAACTGAGCTGAGCAGGAGGCACAGCTCTCATCTGTGCCTGTGATAACACTCAGGACTGACACGTTTTCTCTACAGAACCTTTTACCAACACTTCCCGACTTTCCAAGAAAGCCTCTTGCAATCAGAGTTGTGTCAAGCTGAACAGTGAACTGCATGTTTGGAACAACAGAGACTGCTTTGCACAAATAAATAAATATTACATGGTATTGCTAAGCCCATGAGGCTCTAGTTTGAAAGAGAAAGTTTCACCCTTAAAAATGTAAATGAAATAAAGGCATTAGGCAAAACAGAGAAACATCAGCAGCTCCAATATTGGCAGGTCTGTTTCCCACCCCTAACAACAAAAACCAGATACAATCTGGTATAAAATGAAGGTGACGGACACGAGTAAAGTTTCCACTGTCTCCAACTTCAGCAATTCCTGCACTCCACAAGAGCCATCCTCCTGCTGTGTCAGTACTGGCACCTCCAGCTGCAAAGTCACAAGGATCAAGGACCAAAGACCAATTTGGGGGAAAGACCCCAAGGAAGGGCTTTGGGCAGCCCTGGTGCTGCCCACCCAGTTTAACAAACACCCCAGTTTAACAGAGGAGGGACACCCATGTCCCTGGCTGAGAAAGGCTCTCTGCTGTGACACCCCATGAAGGCTGGAAATCTGGATTTTTAAGAACATGTAAGGGTTGTTTTCCTGGGATATAACCAACGCTGGCTTCAGGACCTTGGGATGTGTTCCTGCTCCTTGGCTCTGTCCAAAGTGGTGTTCTGTAACAGCAGAGGTGCATAACGATGGGTATTCAAAGTTCCAGCAGCAAAAACCCCACTTTAATGTTACCGCCTATTTTTATCCTGTTTTCCAATTTATCGTGTTTAATTCTAATTGGTTAGGAACGTTCTAATTGGTTGGGAACTTTCTTGCCACTCAATTCATTGGTGCTTGTGTGTGCACAAGCTAAGGCTCTCTCTTTACACAGGTGTTTACATCTTTTCTTTGTGCATTCTCATGGGATAGACTTCTTATTTTTCATAGATGCCTTCTTGCAAGAATAGACTGTTATGCAAACTGATTCCCATTCTTATGATTCTTTCTCATGGGAACCTAACAGGGTAGCTGTTAATTCAGCTGAAATAGCAAGGGCTGATTTTACAAGGCCTTTCTTTTATAAGGTTTTACCTCTACACAACAGTGCTCAGAAGTCAACCAGGACAAGAGGCCTGGGTTCCTCCCGGGCCAGCAGCAACTCCTCAGGTCAGTTCCCAGCACTGGGTCCCCCTGAGCTTCACTGTGAGGACACAGGAGCTGGCCTGGACAGGGCAGCACTTTGCTGAACACATTAAAGCAGACATTGCTTTGTTATGTGTGAAAATTCATGCCCTGGCTTGGGAAAGGCAATATTATCAATATTACCAGGGGCACAAGAGAGTTCTGACAGCAAACTGGAGCTTGGTGCTCTTGTTACACAATCTACACAGGCAAAGAGTGCAATCCTCTGGGTAGATATCAGACAAGAAGAGCCTCATCATCACAGATTTCCAAGGCAGGGCCTTTTTTTGTCCCAGACAGGAGGCCAGCAGCTGAGACAATGCAAGTGCCAGGAACAGCCTGAATCCACCATGGTGCCTTGGGAAGCAAAAACGTCACCAGCCCCAAGTTATTTTAATGCAGTGCATAAATCACAAGAATACAGAATGAACCAAAGGAGAAGAAACCTGCCAACATCCAGTAGGAAAATAAAGGGGATGAGGGAACCCTTTGTAGCCAAGGAGTTTTGAAAATTCTGAATGGAAAGGAGAGGGATGATCTACTGAATCTTTGCACAAGAGCTGCTTCTATTATAAAGCAAATAAAATTATTAGGGGCTCAAAAGCATAAGCAGACATCCAACTGCTTTCACTTTATTCTCCAAGATGATTATACTATGTAATGGTAATGGATGTTAAGAGTTCAACAGGCCTGTATAAAGAAAGAGATTGATATCTAGAATTTGGAGTAAAATGCTTCTAGGCCAGAGCTTTGACTTCAGAGTTTACTTTCCTCTCTATGTCAACAGGCAATAGAAAAATCAGTAATTACCATTTTGTAAAAATTACTGTTTCTTTGAAATAACAGATAAAATAGAAGATGATTTTTCAATTACATTTTTTACCTCAATTCTCAACTCTTATTCCCCCTCTCAATCCAGTGCATTATTAAACACAGCACCAGCTGCATTACAAGTCAGGTTTGCCCAAGTTCTGCCTCCCCCCAACATTTATTCAGTCACAGCCAGAGCTGGCCAAAGGAGACTCTTGAATAATCTACTCCTTAAAGAAATTTATAGCAAGCAACAGAGGAGACAATTATTAGTCCATTAACAAATCAATAAAATTCATCATAATCTACTTTCTCATGTTGAGAGCTGCCTTCAGATCTCCCATGTGGATACACAATGACAAGGCCACTGAATGATTTACATCACTCTGAAAGAACACAGAAGAGTTAATTTTGTGATTCTTTTTCCTCCTGCACAATTGGCAGCTCCCAGCTTCCACTCCTGTCTACTCCTGTTTCAGCGCTCCTGTTTTATTTAGTGGAGCTCAGTTCCCACAAATGATCTCATCAGAAACAGTTCTGAAACTTCATCTGTCCAGATCCTGCTGAAGTCACCCCCAAGCTCCAGCATTTCCATACCCAGGCCCACCACACCATGCTCTCCAAACAATTCACCAGCTGCACTGGAGACTCCTCCAATGGCAAGATGAATTTTTAAAGCCAGACCTGATGACCTCTGAGGGAAGACCCCTGTCAGGTCCTTGACATGTTTTTTAATTATGTGGATTTCTGTATCCAAGGTCACTTCTGTGTTAAAATGCTTTCATTGTTATTTTTGACATCTGTAATTTAGATAAAGACAGGGTGGAGCATTTTGATTAAATCACTTGAACTTCAGATAAACCCTTGAGCATTGCATGACAGGCTTGGCCCAGCTAAGCGCAGGAGAGGTCATGCTCTGCTTTAATAACTCATTTTTACAGTGCATTTTAATCATTCATGAACTACACCTGCCAACCAAAGTCCTGGTAACGTTCCTTGGTAGCCTCTGCCTTGAATCCAGTAAAGCAGAACTCAAAGGTTTCCTGCAGAGACCATTAGAAACTGATTTAAATAAACAGATTACAGGATTCTCCAACCACAGATTTATGAACTGAGTCATAACTGCAGTTTACATTACAACATCTAAACCTTCAAACAAGCAGGTGAGATTTATTAAAGCTTTTGTGTCATGGATATATCAAACCCTCAGTCAAGAGACAGCTCTGTACCATCTTCCACCAATTTCACACCAGTGTGAAGGACACCTGGCAATATTCTGTCCCTGGCAGATTCTGGCAATATTCTGTCCCTGGCAGGTTCAAAGCTCTCTGATATTATGTCACCTGTAAATGCAGATGGAAATCAGTTTGCTATCAGCAGTTCCTAAGTGCTGATTCTGAATATCTAAAGCAGCACCCTGTGTTGAATAAACCAATGGATAGGTGTTTGGGAGCTCCCCTGGAAAACCACAGAGTCCAGAGCCATGCCATTAATCCAGGAAGAGCTGGATTGTCTCTGCACATCCCACCTGCACAGGCAACAAGTTCTGCTCACTGCCTGTGCCTGTGCCACCTGGGAATTCACCTACACTGAGTATATTCACACAGCTGTGAGAACAGAATGTTACTGTCTCTGAGACAAATTAATGCAGGATATGTTCATCAAAGGATTACACTGATTATTTTTTGGGGAAGTATTACATGTTCAGCATCAGTTTTCATAATTAGAACAAGAAATGAGCTCTTACATTTTCTTTAACACAGGAAGTAACTTGCAAAGTGCTAAATTAACTGAGCATTGAGGCATTAGAATGAAAGGAATGAGCAGGTCATTCACCTCCATCACAGACTATTATCCAAAATAACCTCAGTCCAAGGGAATAAACTCCTTTTCCCAATCTGTGCACCTACAGAGCACTCCACTCTCTTCAGCATTTCTCACCTTTGTCTTGAACCTCAGACTCCAAATTAGAAATCCACATGGATTTTTATCATAATTTCATTTTGATCTTGACTTGCCAAGCTCAGCAAACAAGCTAAGCTTGTGAGCTTTTGGGAAGCCAGGTGTCCAGCTGGTTGGCAACACATTGGCACTGAAAAGAGAGTTTGTTACCGAAAAGAACTCTGTGAAATTTAATAAAAATCAGGTAAAGCATTATGCAAACAAGTTCCATGAGTGTAAGTTGAATTTTCACTTTAATAAAAGAGGTGGCAAAGCTGTATTTAAGGATTCAACATCTGCCTGTTCTAATAAAATAAAGCAGCCTTGGCCAAGTGTGCTGGCGTCTCTGGCAGTGCAGAGAAGAACCCAGGACAGCTGGACAAGCAGGGTTTCCAAAGTTCCCCTTGCCCTGATGCCTGTCCCAGGCCAAGCATCACTGGTAACTCTGCACTCCCATGGGCTCACCCCTCAGCCTGCTGTGAACTCAACAATATAAAGATGTTTTCTCACTGCCTTTCTGAACTGAATGCTAATTTAAAAATCTGCTCATTGTAAGATCCCTCTGCTGTGTCGTGCTTTGGGAGGTGTGAATGGAGTCCAGGAGCTGTCAGGCACTGGGGACACTGGGAGATGCCAGGCTGTGACTGGAAAGGACACAGAGGGAACTCCATGGCCTTCAGTGTGTCCCAAGGACAATCCCATGGACACCCTGTGACTGTCACCAGCTCCCCAGCAGATGGCATTGGGGTTGTTCTTACAGCTGAACTTTTTCAGGCTTCTTTAGTGGCTTGAGAAACTTCTCCCCAGAATTTCCCTTCCCTCCCTTCTCTGGGAATGAGTGGAGAGGAGAGAGCACACAGAGCTCCAGCAGAGCTGGTCCTGAAGCCGTGCTTTGCCTCATGGAACAGGGACTCAGTGCACAATCCAGCCCTTCCAACCCATTTACTGCATCCAACATTGCAAAATCAGCAATCTCTCCAGGGAGACCTGGTGAAGGCAGGTCATTCCTTTTTAGCAACTAATGGAAACAACTCGATGTCAAGGAGTGCCACAAAAGAAAGAACAACTATAAGGAAATGGAGAAAAACAATGTGATCAAGTAATTCAGGAGTTACTGAGCTGTTCTGGAATTACTTGAGAGATCTTGGGGGGAAAAAAAGAAAAAATAAAGGACCAGCATAAGAAGGAAAAATAATTTCTGCCTACAATGTACAGCAGTATGGTCTTAGTCTCCAAAAGTCCTTAAATGTTTGGATTCCTGAATCAAATAAACATTTACAAGGTAAGTCTTTATGCTAATACTAATTATTTGAAAAATAGGAAACAAACACATAATTATACTTACTTCAAACAGCAATAGAAACTAGTCTTGGGTGTCAAATAAATAATAAATAAATCAATTAACTCAGGAGTACAAGCCACCAGGAAGTAACTAAGTATAAAAATATGTATGGTATAACACATTCTAAAACTGTCAGGGATTAACACAGAATGATAAAAGGGAACAATCAGTTTCTGAGAGTTTTCTTTTTTAACTTCAGCTCCAAAAATGCATTTTCCTACGAAAAAAGTCACCTTACAAAGACTATTTCTGTTTTAGTCCCTCCATCTGTAAGAGGTACAAGAAAATTGGCACACTCCAAATTTATGGGGTTTTTTTGTTCCCTCCACAGATCTCCAGTGGCAAAAAATAACAAGTCTTAGTGCCAATATAAATGTGAGACAAAACTGGAACTATGGTAAGAAAACTACTATAGACATAAATAAAACAAGACTGCAGTAGTGACACTATTCCTCCAGCTTTAAAACTTGAACTGAAACCATCTCATCCACTTTCCACCTTTGCCAAAAACTCACCATTTTTTGCACATCCCAAATGGAAAGAAAACAATCAACCAACCAACCCCCCAACTTACACACTATGTGGAGATACTGGACACACATCAAGGAGCAACCTTTAATAATGTGAATTTGTAGGTTGGTGCCTCTTTCCTACACAGGCCAAACCAGTTACAAGCACTCACTCTGAGGGCAGGGGATGAGGCTGATGCTTGGGTGAGTGTAATGTACACACCAGCTTGTAAAACTGCCTTTAAATATCCGTGACTCGCAGCATAATTGCTTCCCTCTCCTCTAAGTACAGCGTTTGCAGGATTGTATTACAGCCCTACCTATAAAATGCAGCCCTTTATTAGGGACAAATTAGACAGCCCTCAGTAACTTAATAACATAATAACCCATGACCACAACACTGCAGGTTTATGCATCCCATCCTGCTGTATTGATGCAAATGAGACTCCTGACTGCAGCTGGATTAGCCACATGTTTTAAATAAAGTGTGTATGTGTTTTGTAAGACCTATGTCAGAAAAAAGAGAAGAAGCATTACAATGCAGTGTTACTCTGAACATGTGAGCTGCTTCAGGACTGCAGTTGGCAGGACACAGCACAACTTTAGGTGAGTTATGTGTGATGTTATCCATAGAATCACCATGTGTGATGTTATTCCCAGGATAAGAGGGCAGGGGACAGGGCTGGGACTGCTCAGGCAGGTGAATGTCACATAAACACTTCCAGGGGTGACACCTCCAGAACAGCACAGCCAAGGACACATCCTCCTCTTCCTCATCCTCAAACACCTGAGGGCTCAAAGTGTGGCAGCTCAAGGCTCCCTGTCCAACCACCACTGGCTGTGCCTGGCACCACAGCAGGCTGACACCATGGAATCACAGAAGGGTTTGGGTTGGAAGGGACCTTAAAGTTCATCTTCTTCCACAGCCCTGCCAACATAGGCACACTGAGCCACTGGGGACAGGGGGCACTAAGGACTGAGGCACCCATGACACAAGAGAACATAGTCTTAAGTTTTGGCAAGGTATGTTTAGGTTGGACATTAGGAAGAAATTCTTCATGGAACAGGCAGGAAGACATTGGCAGGGGCTGCCCGGGGAGGTTTGCAGTCCCTGTCCCTGGTGTCCAAGGAAGGACAGAGGTGGCACTCAGTGACAAGGTGGGCATCGGGCACAGGTTGGACTCGGTGATCTCAGAGCTCTTTCCCAACCTCAGTGATTCTGGGATTCTGTGATTCCACCAGGGAATGAGGAAATTAGCAATGGCAGGAGTTGTGCCAGGGGAGGTTTAGGATCAACATTATGAACAATTCCTCCACACAAAGAATGGTCAGGGACATTGGAAGGGTCTGCCCAGGCAGGTGGCAGAGTCCCCGTTCCTGCAGTGTTTAAGGCAAGGCTGGACTTGCCTTAAACAAAGCACTGAGTGCCGTGCTTCAGCGCCCGGGGCGGTGATCGGTGCCAAGCTGTGCTGGGGATGCCGGGGTGTTTCCCAGGCTGTGTGCCCGCGGTGTTTCTGTCCCTGCCGTGTCCCTGTACCCGCGGGGTTTCTATCCCTGCCGTGTCCCTGTGCCCGCGGTGTTTCTATCACTGGCACGTTTCTGTGCCCGCGGTGTTTCTGTGCCTGAGGCACCCGCGGCTGAGGGGCCGCTGCCGGGCCCGGCGCGCATGCGCAGAGCGGCTCCGGCCGGCGCAGGCGCACGGGTGCTCCCCTGGCGCGCGCGGAGCGGCTGCGCGCGCACGCGCAGTTCCTCCGGCGGCTCCCGGCGCGTGCCCGGCGCTGCCCCCCCCGCTCGGGGCCGCGCCGGGGGGGGCGGGAGGCGCAGCAGCGCCTGCGCGCGCCGGGCGGGTCCGCGCGCGCGAGCCCGCGCGGGCCTCCCCCCACCCCCACCGCCGGGCCCGGAGAAGGGGGGGGCATCGCCGGCATCATCATCACCATCATCATCATCACCATCATCATCTTCCTCCTCCTCCTCCCCTCCCGCCGCGCCCCTCCGCTCGGGGCCCCGCCGCGCTCTCCCCCCCCGGGAGGGCTCCCCCGCGCTTACCGTGTAGCGCGGGGCCGGCGCGGGGGCTCCGGGCTCGGCCGGGCTCGGCTGGGTCGGTCCCGGCGTCACACAATGAAATCAGCGGCCCCGATCATTAATTCTCATCATGATCGTGACGTGCGCGCAGACAGCGGCCAATGGCGCGCTGCGATCAGCGCGGCCCGGACGGCGCCCGCCCCCGCCGCCCGCCGGGGGGGCGCGCACGGGAGCGCCGGCACCGTGAGGGGACGGGGCGGCCGCAGGGCCGGCCCCGCTGCGGCCCCGGAGCCCCGCACCGCCCCCGGACCCCGCACCGCCCCCGCGCCGCGGGCCCGGCCCGCAGCACCCTGCGAGTGCTCCTGTACAGCCATCCCTGAGAGCTGGGGGCAGAGACGGGGAAGGAGCCCGCGATCCGTGTACATGTCCCCAGAGGGTGGTGCCGGCTCTGCCCAGCGACGGCACAAGGGGCAGTGCCCATAAACTACAACGCGAGAAGTTCCACCTCAACACCAGGAAAAACTTCCTTCCATGAGGGTGGCAGAGCCCTGGGAGGGTGTGGAGTCTCTGGAGACATCCCAAACCCACCCGGACACCTTCTTGTGCCACGTGCTCCAGGTGACCCCACCTTGCACTGGGTGATCTCCAGATCCTTCCAGCCCCATCCACCCAGTGATTTTGTGGGTGCCCATCCCTGTGACCCCATCCATCCAGTGATTCTGTGGGTGCCCATCCCTGTGACCCTGTTCCATCCAGTGATTCTGTGGGTGCCCATCCCTGTGACCCCATCCATCCAGTGATTCTGTGGGTGCCCATCCCTGTGACCCTGTTCCATCCAGTGATTCTGTGGGTGCCCATCCCTGTGACCCCATCCATCCAGTGATTCTGTGGGTGCCCATCCCTGTCACCCCATCCATTCAGTGATGCTGTGGGTGGAGATCCCTGTGACCCCATGGCAAAGGGCAAGTCATGAGGAGACTCCCCAGTGAAACCCAAAAAGTTCCATGACCGACCAGGACTTGATTTACATCAATATTATGGCACTTAAGAAATAAACCTTTTATTTCCCAGGATGGATACATTTGGTCTGGGAAGGGAGGAAATGCCAGTGTGTCCAGTGGGCAGTGCAGGGCAGGTGGGGCCAGACACCTCCTCAGGGCCATGGCCAGAGTTGGTGACAGCACAAACCTCACACCCTCACTCCTGTGTCCTTACAGGGTCCAGGTACTGCCAGGTGCATCAGTGCCAGCCCTCCTTTGGGCTCCATTTCCCTTCCAAATGGAAATCTCCTGAACAAAGGAGCAGGAAGCACCCTGCTGGCCCATTCTGATGGATTCTGTGGTAGAAATCACGTGAAACCACTGGTTATTGGCTCAGCTGTAGGAGCACTGAGAAGTCAGAAGCAGACTTGAGACCTGTGTTGATTCCAAAGTCTCCAGACAGGCCACATCCCTACTCCAAATAGTTTCCTCTGAAAGTCACGATGTTAAAATATTAAACAGGCAATTAATTTTGTAGGATGTTTTAATCAGAAGTACCAGTAAATATTTCTGCAGGACTGAAATGAAAGAATTGCTGCTGGTTCTCTGTAGGCAGGGAGGAGAAAAGCAGACAGTGTTTATGTTTATTTTAAAATTGCAAGAAGCTGTTTACATTGTTTAAAAATTTTAACACGGAATCTGAACTAGTGGTGGCGTCCCCTTGGGGACTTGAGAACAGATGATCTTTAAGGTCTTTCCATCTGAAACCATTCTATAATTCTATGGTGTAGTAAACATCCTGAATTTAATAACAGGATTTTAGGGAGAGCCCATACATTTAAACCTTAAATCTTCTGTTGTGCTGCTTGGTTTCCTGGATATGTTCCCTTCCTCTGTGTGCCATCAACACTTGCCCTGTAAAAATCAAATACAGCAACCACAAAACTTCTACACCACTGCTTTTATAGCAAATAATTGGTTTGGAATTAGCTATGGAACTATTCCTGAGAAACTTGGTATGTTTTGTTCTCATAATATCTGCAGCTTGGGAAACAAAAATGGTGAGACAGTCTCTCTGATATCCCTTGAAAAATACAGTGGTGATTGATAAAATGCAGCCTATTAAACTCCTTTAAAATGGTGAATAATAGAAAGTAATATTTCAAGGGCTCTAATTTGACTAACAATGGGCTTACAGGTGCTTTTTCTATAGTTTTCATCAAAAAACTCATAGAATCGTTCCTGAAGGAGACATGAGATGTGTATTTAAGTTGTCAAAGAAACCAGTTTGCAGACTAGCAGCCCCAAAAGATTTATTGATCCCAGTAATGTTCTTTACAATATAGGAGGCTGAACGTACAGGTTAACAAAGCTGCTGCTGTTTGCAACTCAGGAGTGACAAGCTCCACAAAGAGTCTCATGTTATTTATTTCCTTCCCTGGTAATGCCTCTTAAGGAGCCAAACCTTGAGGAAAAAACTATTTCAGGATGAAATAAACCAAATATTCCTCTCCTGCTACCAGATCTAAGTGTTTCCTCCTTCATTAATGACAGATTTAAATTAACAGGGGCTGCCAGATCGGTCTGGTGGTTTACACAGCAGCCTGGAACATGAAAGGAGCCCTTCCATGAGGGAGTCAGCATCAAAGTGAGACCGTGCTGCTGCTCCTGTGCAGGAGCTCATTAAACTGATGAGCCCAGCTCACCATTAGTGACCCCGTGTGGCTCTGCCCTGGGGCCAGGGCTGGGTGTGGGCATTTCCTGCCACAGCTGGGAACATCTGCATGGCTCCCTGCAACACCAGGGATTGGATTCCACCCTCAGGAACCCAGCTGCAGGATCACACCAGTGTTCCAGAGCTTTCCCTTTTCCAGCAGCTCGTGGGTTCTCAGACCTTTGGCAGGTGAGAGGAGTCTGTGGGGATGGCTCAGAATTCCTGGACAAGGACTTGGGAGCTGCTGTGTGACAGCTTTGGTCACACAGTTTAGAGCAATGGCTGCTATTTCCATTTCTCTGCCTTTTTTATGGAGCCTGGAAAACACTGAGGCAGCCACAAGGGCAAACCCACCCCACTCCACAGAACCCTGCCCCAGGACAGCTTTACTCACTTATTGTGCCATTATTTAGGGGATGTTTTAAGGGATGCAGACTTATTATGCCATTATTGAGGTGATGTTTTGAAGGATGTAGCTCTAAGCCAGACCTTGGGCTCACCTATAAAGTCAGAGACTTTTCAAAAAGGAGTGAAAACAGGGTGGAAAAGATCCCATTTTCACCTGGAATTTTTGTATTTGCAATTCTCCATCCCACTGAGTAAATTGGCTCTGGTGCTGCTCCAAGGCATGAAATCATGGGGCTGCATTGCATCAGCCAAAAAGGGACCTGGATTGAATCTGTCCCCTTGTGCCCAAAGGGTCCAACTTGTGCTTGGGAAAATGTGTGGAGAATCCAGTGTGGAAAAGCCTGGAGCTGATCTGGTGCTTGACCAAGCTCCTTTTGGGAACTTCTTGCTATCATTCATCCTGAATCTTCGATAAGTTCAACCCTTGTAAGAGATTTATTAAACTTCAGGTTCAAGAGTGGCCACAGGAAAACCCCACTGGTCGCTTCATTTTGTTGGAAAAGTGTATCAGCAGTTCCCTGAGGAGCTCCTCAGGCAGTTCTGAGGCTTTGTCCCCTCCAAAAATGTGTCTGAGCATTCCAAAAACCCTGCTAAAGCCAAGATATGTAATATTTACTGCTTCATGTCTCTACAAGGCTCCTTATTCTGCCACAAAGGAAAGTTTGAAGTGATTTATTCTTTAAAATCCAATTTTTTTTTCACCAACATATGTATGTCCTTCTTTTCCTATTGCTGCTATTCAATTTCCAGGGGAAGAAGTTGCTCTGAAAATCAAGTTCTTGGTTTAAGTTCCTGCTCTTTCCCAGTTTTTCTGCTCAATGAACACCCAAAATGACAACAGCAATGCTCATTTTACAGAAATACTATAAAGACACACTAAATATGAGGAGTACAAGGGTGTAGTGAAAAATCTACTAAACCAGGAGGTTCTGTGTGAAATGGTGATGGAGAAAGGATTACAGTGTGTAAACCTTAGGAAAAATGTTAATATGGAAAATTCCATGTAGCACATTTTTTTGCATCTAAAAACCCAGCCAGAATTAGTGGTCTTACAAGATTTACAAATTTTCTGTCTTCTTTGAACTTGGTTTTGCCATATTAATTAAAATTACTTGTTAATCCTCACCCAGTGCATAAACAAAGCTCCCATAAACTGAATCTGTAAATATGCCCTTTGTGCTGGTATGGAAAAAACAGCTGGTGCTTATGGGGAAAAAATGGAAAAGAGCCTGGCTGGGTAGATATTTTAAGGATTTGTTCCACTTTTTATCTTATTGGGATATTTTTAAGAAAATCAGGGATGCTGTTTCCTTGCATTTTTATTGCCTTTGATAATTTTTCACACACTGAGCAGGGGAAATTATGAACTCGAGGAACATCTAAAATGCAATACACCAAAAATTTTTACAAAGAGGGACATAATTTCTGTATATTTATTTTTCACCCATTAGTATTCCAAGCATAGAAAATTTTATAGTACAAAGAAAAAGTTAAAATATTTTTTAAATAAAAATGCAAACAAAACCAGGCATGAGGAAGCAAAGAACCAGGGATAGAACCATCATTAAAAAAAATTCTATGTAGCCCCTTCTTTTGCCATTTATCTTCCTCCTACAAGCCCAATTCAATTAGTGAGATGATTCACCTAAAGGTGATGCCCAAGCAATTCTTATTTCCCATGATTTTTTTAGAAAAGCAGCCAAGAAAACTTTGAGTTGGAATCTTCAAAGCATTTATTAGTTTAGGCAGCACTTTGCTTTTCTTTGACTGGTATTTCTCCAGAGGTTAAGATGGTTTTTCCATGTGCTCAGGTCTCCCAACATCAAACATTCCTCTGTTCCTTCTCTTCTACCTGTGAGTCCACATTTTATTCCATCTCCACCAAAGAAATGGAATAAAGTCCAGTCCTTATTTTTTCTCTTGTGCTCCTGACTGGGCTGAAAGATCCTGAAAAGTGGGGTTTTTTTCCCCTTTAATGTAGTGGTTGTCCCTAATTCTTTGGAATAAAAATAACCATCACCCAGCAGTTCCTTCAGGTGTTTCTC